TCCCCTGGCAACACGTCTCTCCTAAGCTCACTGGATGTTAAGAGTTTAAAGCTAAAAGATGCTTTAAAATGGCAGGCCCCTGAATGTTTTCCCAGAGTGCAATTGGGCCCTGGATCTGAAGAAGGTCCCCTTCCCGGTTGCAGCTGGAGTCAAAAAGAAGGAGAGAAGAGTCTTGTGAGGAGAGGACTGGTTCCACCATGAAACGGGCACCGGAAGCTGCCTTGCACGAAGTCAGCCCCTTGACCCATCTAGTCTAGTCTTGCCAGCACTGACTGGCAGCAGCTGTTTTCCCAGGCAGGGAGACCTTGCAGGGAAAGTGTCTTGAGAAGGCTGCAAATGGTTAGCTCATTCGTGGTCACACTTTTTCTCCCAGGCAAGGAAACAAGGAGCTTGAAGTGCCGACACTATTTGACTTCCATAGCACCCGATAGCTGAAGTGCTCTGGCTAGCTTACAGAAGTTAAAACCTTTAAAATACATGAGGAAAACTGATTGTGTGCAAACGTGTGTGCTTAAACCACACACACGTGCAACACAGAAAGAGTCACATTCATCTAGAACCTCTTTTAAACTATCAGCAACCAGAAAAATCCAACACTGGATTAAAATTTGATTAATTTGGCCAGCCGGGGGTGTTGTGCCAGGTGACTCTGAGGTCTGTAGGCACCAGTTCAGACTTGATCTGGCCCCAGCTGCTGCATCAGAGCAGCCCATGCGTAACCCAGTGCCCTGTCTCCACCAGAGGTCAGACTGGTGTTTTGGGGAAACCACACACAGGACATGAAGGCACCTGACCCGTTCTGTGGTTGCCTCCAAAATCGCACAGTTCTGAACATGGAAGTTCCGGGCATTTAACTCTGTTGAATCCAAGTCATCAATGGTCCAAACCCCAAGACTCTGTCTAACATCCGAGCAAATTGTTCCCACTGCTCTCGTTCCATCACTGGAACAGAAAGGATTCTGAAACCTTCTAAAACTCATGGAACATTTACCAACCTCTCATCACTTCAAATGAAGGCCTGAAAAACGGGGACAACCTTCTTAAAGAGAATCAACACTATGTAATGAGCGGGAACTTTGAGATAACATAAACACTATTAGAGAAATGAAAATCCTTATCAAACTGTTATATCATGCATGGATTTAAGCTCCAGAGACAGGTGCAAAAGCCAGACAACATCCGAGGCCTCGTGAAATCCATCTCTGTTTACCTGGCCACGTTTCCTTTCATTGGTCCCTCATCCCTGAGGACACTGAAGTCAGTTCAGTCTAATTGTCTCTCCCGGCGTGACCTTTTAGGGCCATTCTCATGCTTGGACCGATAAGCCGAAGGCGCTTAAGATGAATTCAGAGACTAACATCAAAACTCCTCTTAAAAACAAGGCGCTTGCAGTGTTGAAGGAAAGGGGCCTGTGAACCTTTTAGGGTCACTGCGAGATTGCCGGTGAAGGATGTTTTAAAAGGAGCGGAAAGGAAGCCGCACTGCAGCAAAGCATTTCCAGAGATTCACACAATAATAGGGCCAGGAGGGACCCAGGGGGCCACGGAGCCCAAGCGCCTGCTGGAGCAGGAAGCTGAGTTGCACCGTCCGCCTGCCCAGGGTTGCCTGGAATGTCTCCAGCAAACGGCCTCTCCGGCAGCGGGTTCCACTGCCCGGTCGCCCTGACCATCGGGTACTTTTTCCGGCTGTCTAGCCTGAACCTGGTGCTGCAGTTTAAGATGGCTCCGTAAGACTCTACGGAACCATGGACACCCAACAGCCTCGGGGGGGGGGGGTGCATGAGCACAAATAAAGCCCAACCAAAATGCAGGGCCCAAGTTTCTTCCCTGCCGCCAGCACCAACTTCTTTCTGTTGATATCTCTAATAAAACTGCAAAGCGCAAAGATGCAGCCCCGAGCACGGAACCGCAGGCAAGCCGGTCCTCCATAAATCAGTCGGGTAAATACAGGACTCGGCACTTGGCCACGCTGCCTGGGGATGATGGGATTTGCAGTCCCAGGCTGGGAAAGGCTGCTCCAGAGTTCACCACCAGGGGCATCAGCAGCCCATTCGAAAAGGAACGATTCCCCACCTTCACCTGGGTTGCGAAGACTACACATGCCGGCTAAGTGGGGGCGGGGGCGGTGGAAGCTGCTCCGGTCCAGCCGTTTCGGGGCACCAAGTTGGGGGACCGCGACTTCGTACGGTGCCTCTCCATAAACCGTCAGTCGCAGCTTGAGACTCTCTGTGCCACGAATGGGGTGGCCTGAGTGCCCACCCCCACAACGCCACTGCCAAGCTCCCTTCCCCATCTCGCCTCTTTAATTTCACCTCTGCTGCGGCTGAGCAGCCACAAATCAAAGCGCCACTGCCCTTGTTCCAGCCCACCCCAGGCCCCACCATCCCCATCTCTAAAGCTGCTGGTTGATTAACGGGCTCTTGACGAAATCCTGCCATACCCTGGAAATATCCAAACGAGCGAACATTTGCAGCCACCTAGAAGGCTTGCAGGGGTGACCTGCTGGTGTCGGTGGGAGCTCCAAGCACACCTCTCGGGGGGCGGAAGTACGGCACTTCCGTAACCCCATACTCCCCATTAGCATCTCGTTTTCATGCAACCAAAACAGCCTCCAAGAGATGCAGTCAAAGAGGAGCAAGCAAATGGGAAGGGGCCACCTTTGTATTGCTGCTGTCAAGCCGTGTTGACAAGCCAGAAGCAGAGCGCTTTTCAACCGACAAAGCCACCCGGCGGAGGCAAAGAAATTCAGCGTCATTATGATGGTAGAGGCTTAAACATATCAGCCTCGTAACTGGGCAAGTGGAACATTATTACGAGGTATAAAATACGCTGCCAATGTTCTTCGGTGCTTTTCCGGTCACAGCTGTTTTGCTGAGAAAAAGGGGGAGGGAGGGCGGCCGTGACGAGTGGGGGAACGTTCCTCTCTGTCCCCCATAATCCTGGAAGCCGGTGGGGCCCGTCCCTTGCGGGAGATTCTGGGCAGATCGAAGGAGGACCTTGCACGCCGTGCACGCTGAAACGGCGGCATTCGCTGCCACGAGATGTAGGGAAGGCCGCCGAGCTGGATGCCTTCAGGGGACTTGGAGAGCTCGACGGGGGAGAAGGCGCCCCGTGTGGGTGGTTCTCGGGCGCCTCTCGTGCCGGCGGGTCCACGCCTGCTGGCTGCTGGGGAACACAGGCAGGAGGGGCTGGCACACTCGCGCCCGACGGAAAGCAGGGCAGGATGGGCCTTGCCTCGGTCTGCTCCAGCAGCACCTCCTCGCCCCCTGAGGACAACCTGCATCTTGCTCTCCTGCCCAGGTTAGCCGGGACGGGGAGGATCGGGGCCTCCAGGCGCCGCTCTCGGGAAGCCCCTTCCAGTCCCACTCTGACTCTGGGCCTGCAAGGGTGGGCAAAGGTCTCCAGCGGCACCTCGGTCATGTCTGGACAGGGATCCAGAAAAGGTGACCCTCTGGACACCAAGGACTGCCAGTCCCATTATCTCTGCCCACCACCTAGGCTGATGGGAGCTGGAGTCCCACAACACCTGCCGACACAAGCCCCCTTTCCTGCCCCGCACTAACCTTTGCCGGTAGGGTGACCGCCTGGCACAGGGCACTGCAACTCCCATATTTCCAGCCCAGGTGGTCATGATCCACACTGGCTGGGGGTGATGGGAGTTGTGGTCCAACTTAAGAGCCCAAGGTTCAGAAAGACTGCTCTCCCCTGCAACAGCATTGGGTATATTTATGTATCGCTCTTTAGATACTTGGTGCAAAAGTGACTCAATACTAAAAAGAAAACACTGTGGAAAAAAATCCTATGGCCCCTAAGACGTTGTCCAAGGGGCCCCAAGGATAGTTCCGATTCCCAGCCCGGAGCTCAGGCACAGCACTTTGTCCTTGGAGCTGGGAACTGGAGAACCCAACCCCAACCCCAACCCCAACCCCAACCCCAAGCCCTTTTAGCTGGAATTGGAGCTTGCATCCCCTTTCCCCTTAAAGCCGGCATGGGAAGGACCACATTCTCCGAGGTCGAGAAGGCACACGGGGGGAGGGGTCACTGAGGCCTTTTTGGGGTAGGAAGAGCATTGGCAGGGAACCCAGCAGGCACCAAGAGGGGTGTCAGCAGCACATCGGCCCCCACGGAGACCCTGCTGAAGACCCCAAGCACAGAATCTCTCCAGTGCCACGACCCAGTTTCTAGCGCCTTTGTGTGCAGCCCGGCGAGTCACTGGAAATCTAAATTTAGCGGCTCACCGTTTTTATCTGTCATCACCAGGTGTCAAGAGTTATGTATTAGCCCAGTTAAACCTTTGTCACTTTACAGCGGTCAGAGCTGTCCCCACATCAATCGGCTTTCTAGCGCGGAAAGACGTTCTCAGCCAGCTCGGCCCTTCTTGCCCGGTTCCCACACCTTCCTCTCCTGAACGACTGTCGTGTCGCACCAAGTCTGCACCTGTCGCAACGGGCAGCCCTGCATTTCTGGGTCCAATTTGCCGGGTGCTGTTTTGGCTCTTCAAGCTTTCATCTTTCCGCTGAGAGCCTGAATTATTCCGCCTGTGCTGAGAAGGAAAGGAGGGTAGGGAACAAACGCCCCAGATGCCAGCCATTCAAACGCTGAAGTGGATCTTTCCTACACAGAGAGAAGGCTGCTCTGGAGAAACGGATTAGCACAGGGGAGAAAGAGGCCTTGCGGCTTTATTGCCCCCAGACTGATGCTTCATCGCCCACCGTTCCATCTCTTTTCCGAGCTCATCCTGTCTGAGGCACTGACCTCGTTCATTCTGATGCTGCTCCACTCCAGAGTGGAAAAGCAATTGCTCACAGCTCCCTACCCACTCGGAACAATACTAACGAAGCCATCAAAGGAGCGAGGCAAAGCAGGGATTAAAGACCCAAACGTGGGGAGAAGAAAGCAAACAGGGCCATCGAGTGCCGAACAGGGGTGCCAAGTGGTGCAAGGCCGCTTCCTAGCGTGCCCAGGGCACCCCGCCTGTTGGCAACAGCAAAGCGCACGTACCAGATTCCAGAAAAGCGGGTTGAAGGCGATGCACAGGAGCGCTGCCACGAAGCGTGAGTCGGTCACATCCACGTAATCCAAGAGCGGGGACATGATGGACGGATCCACCTGCAAGAAGTACGGCAATTAGTCCAGCGCCCCCACAAGGCACCCCCAGAAAAGGTTTCCATGCGGCGTTGACCCTGAGAAGCTCTAACCCAGGGTTTGCAGACCAGAAGAATAAGCACCCTGCTGCCCTTGCTTGCCTCAGCAACCACAATTCACACACAGACACACACACAGCCACGAACCACCGTCACCGTCAAGAGTATGGAACGGCCAGACCTCCGCCACCCCACTGCTCGGTCCCGAGGCATCGCTAAGCCTTCCAGTGCTTCTCGCCATGCTGCCCCTCATTCGTGGAGAAGCCTTCCCAGCCTGGTGGCAGCACCTCCACCGTGCTCACCAGGCCGCACGGCCAGCTAGGTCAGCTTCCTGCAGAGAAACGGCTTGGCGTAGCCCCACAAATGGAAGAAAAACCCTTCCAGCCACACCTCTGCAGTCCTGGAGAAACATCGGCACAACACGGATTGCGGGAGAGAGACTTTCAGTTCGGTTTGGACCGGGGCAGAGACAACTCCGCACTCCTGGACCCGAAGGCAAGTCACAGTCCAAAGTCCAGATATTTCCAAGCTTGTTGTACAATGCGCACAACAGCAGCAAGAAAGCATCTGGAAAAAAGGTACACCTTTGAAAAACGTGCACAACTAGAATTTATCCCGCTGGTCTGCTTTTCTGGACTCCATACAAGATGTTGGTCATCACCTTTGAAGCCCTTTGCAACGTGCTCACTGTTACGGTGCCGTCTCCAAGTTGGAGACATGCTCATTTAAACAACTACAAAAATCCCAACATTTGTTCTCACATATCTGAACGGAAGGTACATCCTTTGTTTTTCTCAAGTTGCTACACTATTTTGCTCAAAGCAGTCGCTGAAAAATGAACTTGCTTTTTTCTCGGAGCCAAATTCCCCTCGGATGCCTCGAAGCAACTCTCAGTGGGATCCAGCAGGCCTTCCATGCCTGTTATCTCCCTAATTTTATGATAATCCAATTCAAAATGTGCATGGACATTATTCCCATAAGCTTTTCATCTCCTTTAGCACAGCCATGGCGCCAACAAGTGAGAAATGAACTACAATGTGGTATTTTATTTTTTTAAATGTTTCCATGGTGTTAAAATACCAGTTTGACAAGAAACGCTGTACTTTCTTCAGGAGTCTCAAAAGGGCTAATTCATCCATATTTCTGAGGCCCTTTGCCCAGCCCCAGGGGTGGAGGGATGCAGTGAGAGAATTCAGTCAGAATTATAGTGGAGAGGAAACCGTAATGGTGGCAAGGTATTTTCATAACCAGGATAAAGGTCATCACCATTGAAAGGAAACAGGTGCCTTTCTGATCCAGCCCTTAACATGCAGGCCTAAGATCACTTTTCTTTTCCACACGACGGAGCGCTGCCTTGTTCTGGCTTTCGCAACAAGCGAAAGAACAGGCAGAGTGCCTCAATTTGCAGCGTACTGGGTGAGCAAATGGGAAGCAATTTTATGTTCCAGAGGACATCCAGTGCAGAGGTAAACTCTGGTACGGGAATAGAACATAAAATTGTAACAAGAATGCCAGAGTCTTTGTTCCCAGCTCACGCTGAACCTCATGCCAGGGGGGCAGAGTGACCAGCCATTCCAACGAGTGCCTGAAATTACTTCCAGCTCTGACTGCCCAGCCTCCTTCCGAGCATCGGCCTGAGCAGCGGATGCAATGCAGGACAAGCAGAAAGCTGGGCCGAGGCAGACACCACTCGCTGGCCAACTGAGCCCAGTCTTGACTTGCCCGGTTCTCCAGGACACTGGGCAGAGGGATCCTGTGCAAAGAACCTCTGTCAGCCTGAGCACCGGCTTCCAGGTCAGGGGAGCTATTATGGCTAGCAGCAAAACCTCAGAAGATGGCCTTGCAATCTTTCGCAAGAGAAGCAAGTTTAAGCAGTTGCTGGAGCGAACCATTTACAAGAACAGGGTAAGTGGCAACAGCAATCAGGAGAGACCAAGAATGCAGAATAAATAAATAAAACCACAAAACACTTGAAAAACTCCCTTTTTCCGACCTTCTGACATCACAAGTTGCCTCTTCTCTATGTTTTTGTTAAACCATGAGAACTAGCAACTTCCTTTCCAGCTAAAAATCTAGAGTCCCACGATTTGCTAATACAAAGGCAGACACTGCAGGCTTTAAGAATCCCCTTTTGTTTGTTCTTAAAGAAGGGAGAAATCCTATGCATGTTAGATAGGGGGGAAACTATCCATGTTGCGAGTGAAAGGGGATTTTTCCTCTTCTAACCATGCACGGGACTGCGCCTTAAAAGATGTAAGAAAAGAACGACTAAATCTATCGGGCAGGCCAAAAGCCAAAAGCAACCCGCAACTGGACCCGCAGTTCTCTTCGGCCAGAACACGCATCTGCCGGCCACGCGGCCTTCTCCGGGCGCGTTCCCAGGCGGTGGCGCGCAGGGAAGCGGGCGCGCTCTGGCCCGGCCGGCCTGGCTTGCAGCACGTGTGGACGGCCTGCACCGACTCCTACCAGAAACTCGGCCCATCCGCCTGCGCTCTCCAAAGAGAGGAGGGCGCCAGGCCGGAAAGCCGTGCCAAATTTGCAAGGTGCCTGCAAGCGGGCCGTCATGGGTGCAGCCACGCAAGCATGTTGCGCCCCATCCATATCCGAAATGGCACCGGCGGAGGGGGCCGGGGAGACAGCCAGGCCGGCCGCCCGCCCCTTCCTGCTGGCTGCTGAAAAGGGCTTGGAAACCCAGCCAGGCCGGCGGTGCACGGCGCGCCCCAGGGACGCCCGGGCACCGGAAGCAGCGCGCACGTTGCGCGCACGTTGCCACTCACAAACACGCCTTCTCGGGGCAAAGCGACCGTTAGAAGGGCTTTGGGGAAGGAGAGGGGGCGCTCCCTGCTCACCGACAAACCTAACGCAGGCTAGGGAAAGCGGCAAGGTGCGCCCAGCCCACTGGACCCGTCCGGACAGTGCGAGGTCACCCAACCCCTCGGCGTGCCAGAGAGCGCGCCCGTTTCTCTCCCGGGGGCGCACGGGTGTGCGTCTTTGTCTTGCTTTATTTGGGGGCGTTTGATTCACTGCCACGTGCCCCTGGAGGCAAAACATCAAGGCAGGTCTCCCCTCTTCGCTGCGTTTTCTCTAGGACCGCAAAACGAACGCCTGGAATGATTTTCCTGCTTCTGCGGCCCGGGCTGGCGGCTCTTTGCTTTCCAAACCTCCCCTTCCTCGCTTAGGCAGTGCTCCTTTTCCAAACAAAGCGAATAAAACCCAAGAAGCCCCTACCCAAAATCACACAGCTCTACCTTGCTATAATCCACATTACTCAGAGCTTCACAGCAATCCAAAGGCAGTAGGAGACGCATTCCAAGCGACAGCTAATATCTAAGGCTAAGCGCCCTGTAGTCTCCATAGGGCTGGGTGCCCCCCCCCCGCTTCTTTTCCAACCCTTGACTTAACTGATGCAATGCAAATCGCAAAAAGCCACTCGCAGCTTCCTGGGTAAAATTACTCCTCGCTAAAATGGTCCTGCGAAGCATGCTGGGAAATGTAGTTCTATTCTCCTCCGAATTTATGCTACGCTCGGCGGGGAGAACTGCAAGGGCCAGAAGGCAACGCGCGGCGGATGCCTTGCGCTTAAAAAAAGCCCTTCTTCGAGAATGCCTCAAAAACTGCTTTGAACAGGCACTGGTAAGAGCCCTCTTCCAGATGAGCCCCCTCTGGACACGTGCGCAGCGATAGCTCAAGGCAGGTTCACACGTTACAAGGCATGGAACACGAGGACGACAAGCCTCGTTCCTTACGGAGTATCTGTGTAAGCTGGGTGCAGCAGGAAACGTTACGTTTGTCCGCCACGCGGTAACGTTTCTTAAGTTTATGTAAAACAAATCAGTAAATCTTACTGTGCTTGGACTGCTGGGGAGAGAACGGAAGTATGGAGCAACGCTTTCACACGTTACCCAGCGAGTCTGCTGCAGCCAGACTCACCTCCCTGTACGTGTTTCATTAAATTATTCTGCTACAATTATAGTTCTACCTTTCCACTGAATATAATGCCCGAGGAAGCTAGTAATCATGAAAAATCAATAATAAACTTACAAAATGCATCATTAAGCTATCATAGCAAATCCATAAGACAATTCCTCTGCTCCCCCCCCCTCCCCAGGAAACAGACTAAACACACACCAATGCAAAATATAATAGGAGCAAGCCCCGCAGTTAACACTTCCTCAAACAAGCAAGTCAGCTTAAAAGACAGAACCCTTCCTGGATAAAAATAGATTTGCTTTTGGCCCATAGGACCAGAGGGGTAGGTAGCCTGACCCTGGAGCAGCCACTGAGAAGACCCTACAGAAAGCATGCCTGTTGCATCCCCTCGCCAGTCTTTCGCATCCACCCGCCGATGGCTGGCCCCGGTTGGATTTGCACCAAGTCAAGGTGAAGGCTGCATGTTTTGCTGATCATCGCCCAACATCTTTGTCCCAAAATAGGCTTTCAACCATATGCAACATAACCCAGCAGCCACAGTGCGTGGAACAGGAGCATGTGCTCCTCAGAGGCCCTTACCGTTCACAGAAAGGCCTGACTTACTTCTGAGTGAGCATGCTTGGGAACTTGTGCTGCAGTGCATCTAATGTTCATAAAAAACCATGCACTAAAAGCTCGGGAAAGCTGCATTTTCACAAGGTGTGTCCCCAGAGTAGGCGAAAACTGGGCAGCTGATTACCAAGGGGGGAGACCAGCAAGTGCATTTCCAGCATTTAGACAGAAACCCACACCCAGAAGTATGAGCGAGCATTTCCATGCGCCAGTAAGAAAGCAAGCGTCGCGGAATCGGATTGTCACTGACCTTCCCAGGGCTGTGCAGAGTGGAAGTCCTGAGCGGTGAAAAGACCAGCCAAGTAACTCCTGCTCTGGCCGGCCGGCCTGGACTTTGCACTGTACACAGGCACCGCTCCAAAGCCGGGTGGTCAGTCCGTGGCGGCGGGCACATGCTTCGGGCTGACCTTTCTTCTCCCACCGGGGCGCCACGAGTGTGCGCACTGAGTGTGCAGATGGAAAGGTGCCCCTGTGCACTGGGGCAGGTAGGGGCCCAAGGCCACCTGCTTGCAGCCTGATCTGGCTCCGAGGATGCAGAGGGCAGCGATCCAGCCGCCCCCTCCTCCGCGGGAGCCACACTGGGCCACGTTGCTTTGTCACTGGGCCAGGTTTGAGGTTTTGCCACCAGTGTCTAAAGTCCTAAAACTGCTCAGAACCAGGATCCCTGGGGAGGAGCTTTTCCGCTTTGCGCCCGTCTCCAGACTGTCCATGCTGGAATGTGGCGCAGTAGAGACACTGTGTAAGTCAAGAAAGAAGAAGATTCATCAAATCATAGAATCATGGAAGAGTAGAGCTGGAAGGGGCCACAAAGGCCCTCGGGCCCAGCCCCCTGCTGCTGCAGGACCCCCCGTTGCACTGGGAGCTTGACTCTGCCTGGGTTCACATGACACAAGCAGCCAAGCTTACTCTGCGATGCATCCATAGCAGTGCTGAGCAGAGGGGTGGGCGGAGAGGAGGCGGCTCCCCCAAGGTCACCTAGCAATCTTGGATGGCCAAACGGGGGTTTGATCCTGGCTGGCCCGGAGGTGGAAGCCTGGCAAGCGAGCCCAGTGGCTCGCGGCTCTTTTTCCGACATGGCCCCCCTGCAGTCAGACACGTCACATCTTGTCCTGTGCTTTGCAGGCTGAAGTCGGCACCATGTCCACTGCATTTGCGCTGTAAGGTTTGCTGTCCCCACTGTGAAATGCGATTGTCCTTCCCGGTTGACTTTTAACCGAGTTTATCCCTGCTTCTTCAAACACAGAGAGAGAGAGAGAGAGGTAACCATGTGCACAAAATGATCTCTAAGCATCTTTGGAAAAATCAAGATTAAACTGGAGAAAAAGGTGTTCAGGGCAGTTTCTCCTTCAGGCTCACAACTATCATGATTGCATCCTTATGCACCAAATTATGCCCCCTGCCCAAATGCGTGTGCTTAGGGGGAGAGAGAATCTTGCTGTACTTGTGTGCAGGTTAGAAGGCTGCACAGAAAGAGACCGGGAGGCAGCCAATGTTGCTGTGATGGAACAAGAGCGTACCGTTACACCGCCCACCTTAATTTTTGTTGGTTGATTGGATGGATGGATGGATTTATCCTCTTTCACCCGGACAATTCCACTTACAGCAGGATGGATGATTTGCTTTGCTTTTCTTGTTTTGCTTTCACACACACAGGAATACGAAGTCTTACAAATACAGCAATTCCTGTATTTGCGGGGACCCAGGTCAGCTTGCCACATAGCTGTTAAAAAATGGAAAATATTTTTTTTTAAGTTGCAGCCTGTGAAAACCTGCTTTGGGAAAAGGTGTTGGTGTGAGCAGTGACCTCCAAACATTTGGGGGGGGGGGTGGCCCCCTGGGGCTTTTGCGGATGCTTTCACAAGATGGGTGGCGGAGTGGGCATGGGGCTGCCCGGGCCCCCAAACGCTCCTTTTCCACCCAGGATGTTGTTTTTCCACAGAGGATGTAATGAACGTCAAGGCCGTCACTTCGTTCTCTTCATAAATATTTAGACTGGAAGTCTTAACCGTCGTATTTTTGTGCTTGTTTGCTCTGGATTTCTTCTCCCTTTCATACTTGTGTCACGTTAAAACTTGTAAGAAAAATGGAGAAATAGTCACACAGCCCACCTCAGCTTCCAAAGGAAACCTTCCAAGAAAAATGTGCACATTTCCCACCAACTCGGTTGCCCCGTGAGGGCCCTCGTTGGCCGACTGTCGGGGGGTGTCGGAAGCTTGGGTGCAGCAGCTGGCTGCCACGTGCATCCTCCCACAAGGAACTCTGGGGCACCCATCCGCATGCACACGTGAAAACCTTCCTGACAGCAACAGCCCTGCGAGGTAGGTTAAGCTGAGAAGTGGTGGACGGTCCAAAGCCATCTGGCAAGTTTCATAACGGGGGGGGGGGGATCTGACCTGCTCCGGCAGGTGCAGCTGCGTGTAATGGAGTGGGCAGGAGCTGCTGGCAGAGATCTCTCTGAGACAGGTTGCCCTGACCCTCCCGGATCTCATCCACACCGGGAGTTGCTCCGGAAAGCGGCTGGCTGACTGCTTGGAGCAGCCTTTTCTTGGATTGCAGCTCCCATCTTCCAAAGCCAGCAGGGCCACCAGCCCCGGTGGCAGGTACAGGTAGAGGTTGCAGTCCAGCACACCTGAAGCACACGCTGCCGGGGGAAAGCGCTCCCAGCCCTTGTGGGCTCACCTACTGCTGGGCCCGGGTCCCCCTGGGGAGCCGCTCCGTCCCCTCCCGCTACGCCTCGTGCTTGCGAAATATGCTCGGGGAGAAACAGCACGGTATCCTCCTCCCGGATCCCAGAGGTTCACTGGGGAAGTTGCGTTCACGCCTCCGCCTCGGAGGAAGAAATGGCGGCAAGGAAAAAGTGACAGCCGGCACATCTTTTCATCTTGAGAGGAGGCGAGCCACCATGACAAATTGAAGCAACAGCGGCATCTTAATTAAGGTCGCAAAGACAAGGTATTAATAGTGTGCGGGAGACGGAACGGCCAACGCAGCACCCTGCTAACGCACGGCGGGGCCCCTTCTACCCACGGCGAGATGCAGGGACAGTGCCAGCCGCCGGGCTAATTGGAGGGTCCCCGTCGCCCGTCTGGCACTTTGGAGCGGCTCTTTGTAATGCGGCCCTTGTCAACAGGCGCCTTTTGCCTCGGCCCCGAACGCTGCCACACGGCTCCCCACACGGTGGCTTGGCTGCTGAGCAGGGGAGGTTTTCTCCCAGGAAAGTCAGCCTGGAAAAACGGGCCAGGAGGCAGATCTGGGGGCTGTGGCCAGGGATCGCGCGCCCGGGACTGGGTACCCTGAAACGTCCCCAGGGCCCGCAGGAGTGCTGGGAGAATGAAGATGGCGAGCTCTCCACCACCTGTCCCTGAGCCTCTCCACTCTCGTTACCTGCCCTCGTCCGCTCGTTCTGGCCCCTGCCCTTTGCCTCCAGTTCCCTTCCCGGGAGACCTGCACCAGGAGAGCCGCTGGAGGGCACCTGGCTGAGGGCCGCCCCTCACCAGGCGGTGCCCAGAAGGCAAGCCCTGATGCTGCCCAGGCAAAACCCTCGGCTGAGCCCGGTGCCGTTCTTACTCCTCCGAAATCAGGGGAAACCAATGCAGGTGGGTGGAGGGACCCTCCGTAGCCATTTCCAAAATGGCACCCGCCAGGTGGCTTGGGCCACAACTCCTGATAGGGATGGAAGTATGATCTGAAACAAGGAAACGGGAAGAGGGAAAATGGAACAAAGAAAATTCCTTAGCCAGAAGGAGGAGGGGGCCGGGATCGGACAGCGGGAGGGAACTGGCACGTAGACAAGGCAGCAGGACCCTTGCTCAAGACCTCATGAATAT